CTAGCCAGAACTTCCAATTAAGACTATGTTGAATAGGAGTGGTGAGAGAGGGTATCCTTGTCTAGTGCCAGTTTTCAAAGGGAATGCTTCCAGCTTTTGCCCATTCAATATGATATTGGCTGTGGGTTTGTTATAAATAGCTCTTATTATTTTGAGATATGATCCATCAATACCTAGTTTATCGAGAGTTTTTAGCATAAAGAGCTGCTGAACTTTGTCAAAGGCCTTCTCTGCATCTATTGAGATAATCATGTGGTTTTTGTCTTTGTTTCTGTTTATACGGTGGGTTACGTTTATAGATTTGTGGATGTTGAACCAGCCTTGCATATCCCTGGGATGAAGCTGACTTGATTGTGGTGGATAAGCTTTTTGATGTGCTGTAAAAGGAGCTCTTCAGAGAGAAGAAAAATTATATCAGAAACCCAGATCTACATATGGCTAAGTGAAGGTAAAATAGAAACTTTTATTTTTCTTATTCTTAATCTAACACATAACAGTTTGTTCAAAATAATAATAGTAACAATTTGTTTAGTGATTATAGCTTATGGATAAGTAAAATGAATGATAACAATGTCATAAGAGATAGGAGGGAGAAATTGGGAATACTGTTATAAGGTACTTGCGCTACTGCAGATTACCACTATGAAGCGGTATAGTGTGATTTGAAAGTGGGTTTAGATTAGTTGTAAATGTATATTCTAAAGTCTAGGGCAACCCATGAAAGTTTTTTAAAAAGAAGTATAATTGGTATGCTAAAAGAAAAGAGAAATAGACTTATACAAAAAGAGTAGAATACACAAATCAATTAAGAAAAAGAGCAGCAAATGGAAAACAGAAACTTGGTAGATATTGATCCAACTATATCAATAATTGGTAACTTGATAGATATTAGTCCAACTATACCAGTTAAAAGAGACTGTCAGAGAGGATTTAAAAAACAAAATTAAAAAAAAAAAAACAAGACTCAACTCTATGTTATTTAGAAATCACACTGTAGGACATCACATAAGAATATGCAATGGGTGGCCTGATTCAGGAGACTGGGGTTTCAGTCTGTCCATCCAGTCATTAGCTGTGTGAACTTTGAGAAGTCACCGGTATTCTCTGTTTACTCCTCTGTAAAATATGAGAATTTAGGCTAAATCCCTTTAGTTCTCTTCCATCTCTCAATCCAATGCCTCATTACCATGACCTGATGAGGAACTCTGCACCATGAGGGAGTAGGCTGAAGCATCTAGCAGGTGCTTTTGGTTGGTCTGGGTCTGTGAGAGACGCAGATGCAGCCAGCAGGAGTAGATGCATGAGTGTGACAGCACAAATCCGAATCCTGGCTCTTGCTTGTGAAAACTTAACTCTTGGAGAACAGGAATCTCTTATCTGGGTCCATATTTGACTTGGAGCAAATTATAAGGAAGTTGCAAGCAGTCTTTAGGTTGACTTCATCCTACTGGTAAGGAAGGAGGATGGACCAGAGAGGAACTCAGTGGGTCTCTGCTGAATGCAAGGGTTCAGATGGGACAGAGGATTTTACAGCTTCTTGTCAGACATTCCTGCCCCATCATCATCTTTTTTTTTTTTTTTTTTCCTTCTTGAGATGGATGCTTTTCTTCTCTGTGGCCCAGGCTGGACTGCAGTGGCATGATCTTGTCTTACTGCAACCTCCACTTCCTGGGTTCAAATGATTCTCCTGGCTTAGCCTCCCAAGTAGATATAGGACTACAAGCATGCACCACCATGCTTGGCTAATTTTTGTATTTTTAGAAGAGACGGGGTTTTGTTATTTTGGCCAGGCTGCTCTCGAACTCCTGATCACAGATGATCCACCTGCCTCAGCCTCACAAAGTGCTGGGATTACAGGCGTGAGAGACCACACCCGGCCCATCATCATCTTTTTAGAGTAAAAGTATCTCCACTTTTCCCACTATCACCCCTCAGCCCCATACACACATCTTCTATAGAAGAAAAAGAAAAGGATTTAAAATGTTTAAGTTTCAACTTTAAGAACACTGTTCTTAATGATCAAGGTCTTGTTTACAGCATCTAGCAAAAGCCCTGCTGATCCCAAACTGAGACAACTATGGCATGACTTGTCCATTTTCGTCAACAGCACAACCATTTGGGTGAAGGAGAGAAGACAGAGAATCTTTAAAGCTGTCTTTAAAAACCCCTGGATTATCAAAGGGAAACTGAATCAATGACTGCATTAAGTCGGGGTTGTAAGTCACCACCCTACACTGGCAGAGCATAGCATTTTAACACTTCCCCAGGTTGTTCTTCTCACAGGGTTAAGTGGTTTCAACCAACTGTTCTAGACAGCGACTAGCTCTAGTTCTGTTCTAGTTCTCTCCCACTGACACAGTTCTGCATGTTACGGAAACTGGCCCTATGCTGATGTTACAAATGCCTTTGACCTAGGTCTAAAGTGACATTGTTATACAACCCCAAGCCCAGGAAGCACTGAAATTTCCACCGGGAAGCTGGGGATTCTAATAACCTGCTAGACAGAAAAGCTCCACGAAGGCGAGGCTTGTGACTCTTGGCTTATTGTTATTCTCGCTGTGCCTTCTCAGTGCCTGCCACATAGTAGGTGTTCAATAAATGTTTGTTGAATGAATTCTTAAAAATCCATTACAAATGTGGGCCTTGAAAAAGTATGGATAGTTCAAATTTGACGGTTTCTAAAACTACATTTTAAAGCTGTTCATTTTTTATTTTCCTAACAATCATTAATTGTTTTCTATATGATAGATATTAACATACAGAAGCCAAGTAAACAATATATCAATTCTCATAAAAGAGAAGGGGAGAACAATATTCACCAAATGCTACTATAAGCTTGACACTTTTTATTCATTATTTAATCCTCCCAACAACTCTGTGAGGCAAATATTATTATCATCCCCTTGCAGATAAAGGAACTGATACTTGCAGAAAGGCCAAGCATTTATTTCAGGACCTGGGTACTTCCATCTATAGTGTACTTTCTCCCTAAAATAAATTTAATATCACAGTCTAAATTCTGTTATGTGGTGTTTTGTTAAGAAAACTTAGGTTTTCAGATTTTGAGTTATAAACAAATAGTTTCACGACGAAAAGAAAAATCAGAGTTTTAAGCTTCAGTTACAAGCTATTTATCTTGGAAAAAGTTCCAATAGAAACATTTTATAATGACATGAGTGTGTCTTTGGAGGCTATAAAGAATGGACTGCTTGAACACAATATATGAAAATTATTGGCCGGGCACGGTGGCTCACACCTGTAATCCCAGTACTTTGGGAGGCCGAGGCGGGTGGATCACGAGGTCGAGAGATCGAGACCCTCCTGATCAACATGGTGAAACCCCGTCACTACTAAAAATACAAAAATTAGCTGGGCATGGTGGCGCACGCCTGTAGTCCCAGCTACTCAGGAGGCTGAGGCAGGAGAATTGCTTGAACCCAAGAGGCGGAGGTTGCAGGTGAGTCGAGATCACGCCATTGCACTCCAGCCTGGGTAACAAGAGCGAAACTCCGTCTCAAAAAAAAAAAAAAAGAAAATTACCCAGTTAGGTCCTAAATGTCATCTAAGACCTAAGTCAATTATTATTTTGAAAGCACAACACTGAAGTAAGATGGTTGAAGTCAAAATAAAGTACACACAGTTCACACTTGCAGTGGTGAACAAAAGGCCATGAAACTGGGAAGCTGCCAACCACTTCCTAGTTGTAGCACGTCCTATTATGTACCTATATAAGTACATAATAGCTTATTTCCTAGGACCCTCGTACTAATTCCTGACTGTGCTTGAATTACAAGCAGTATATATACACACCACCAGTGGCATTTCCTAATTGATCTATTGTGTTATATCCTATGTGCTTTATGAAAAGTCACACTGTATGAGGGAAGCCTAAAACAAGGAAATGAATTCTGAACTACAAGAGCACTTAGAGAAATATTCGGCATCAGCTTATCTCATAGGAATGGGAGGCCCATGACAGAGGTGGCCACACGAGCTGTGTGTCTGAGGGCCACAGGGAAGCTCCTGGGTCACCTGTTTCCCTGGACTCTAAGCACTTTTGGCAGTCACTATTCCTCCCCAGTGGGTAAATGCATGGGGCCTGGAATCATCTGCACTCATATGTGGGCAGAAATTTTGAAAACAAGTTGTTCTCACCCAGATTAGGAAGTGGGAAAACAGAGATCCATGCCCAAACCAAAAGTACCCAAGGAAAGTACCCAAGGAGGTGGGAAATGGTCTGGGACTCGAATAGCCCTAAAGAATATGGCCTAATCCTAGGGCAGAGATGGCCGTCTCTTACATTTTTATAGCTCCTTGCAGTTTTCATTGATTTTGCAATAACCCTGAGGATGAAGTTTTATTCTTATTTTTACAAAGAAACTGAAGTTGAGGAAGTGATTCACAGCCAGCAGCCAGCAGAGTAAAATCCTGAGTCTTCAAACTTCAGATGGAATAGTCTTTCCACCACGACCTTGTAGGGCAACCTCAGTATTAGATTTTGTAAGAGCAATGACTTGGAGTCAGGCGGGCCTGCAGTCGCCTACCCCCGAATGTACTATTCTGTAGGCATATGATTTGGGCAGGTTCTTTAACTTCACTGAATCTCATTCTCCTCGTCTGTAAAATGGAGACAGGTGTAACATCTAGCTCACAGGGCTACTATGCGGATCAAATACTACATGCACATCAGTGTGCTCATCACAGAACTTGGCCCCTGGTTAGGGCTAGACACATGTTGAGGTTTTCGGGGTATGTTCACAGCATGGGTTCTGGATAGAGGAGTCTCCTTTCCCCTCTGTAGTTCAGCATGCCTTAGGGCACAAACATTTTACTGTATCTAAAAACTACCACGAGATAAAAACTTGGGACAGACTGGGTGTGCTTGGGGCCTGAACACCAAGCCTAGGATGGGGGTGGAGGGATGTCAGCCCATCTTTCCCCTCCTCCCATACTGCTATCTACACTGGGTACCCAACACAGAGAGGACCCGCCATCCCCACCTGGAAAGCCATGGAAGTTGGCGACAGCCAGAAATATCCTCAGAGGCAGCTTGGCCTTGTAGGACCTGTGGCTCCACAAGCGATGGGCACCAGCTGTCACACCCAGAGCGGTCAGGAGGAAGCAGAAGTAGGCTGCAAGACACAAGCAGGGACAACGTCAACAACGGTCCCCGAGCTTTCAAACAGCCCCCATGCTTTTTCTCTCCTGAACAGGGACACACGCGGAATGGTGGCAGGGGAGGACTCTGTAACACGAAAAATCAATAACTTGAGAAGAGACAGCCTTTTTACGATTTGTAGCATCCCAGTACCAGGCGGAAGCAGAGAACTTTCTTCAGCAAACTTTGACCTTTGAATATTTTTCCCTACATCAAACAAATCTTTTATTTGCTAATGTTTCTTGCCAGTCTTAATGCAAAGTCACAACCGTGTCAATGTACATTCACAATTCAATTTCACCCGTATGCTCTTGGCACAGCAGAGACTGAGCTGTATGTCACCTCTTAATTGGCACCTATGCCAGGGTGAGTGTTATGTGAAAATCGTGTTTCTAAGTGGCAGTGCCCATTATCAGTGTCAATATACATATTTAAAGAGAGCACAATATTACATTTTCCAGAAGTGTTTGACTGATCTTGATCTCAATCTATATTTACATGGTTCTAAAAACAAGATTTACCCTTAACTGTAAGATTAAGAGGTCCCTGAATACATGTGGTTTTCATGGACATTACAAACCATTCCTTACTTGAAAGATTAAAAGCAGAAAACAACGATCTGCCCACAAATCACAGAAAGCAGCAGTAAATAAAAAGCTCTGGCGTCCTTTGTTATTGTAATTTAACCTTGGTCATGAGTCCATGAAATGGACAGTCATTTTCCTTGTCATCCCTGACCTTTTTGTCTCTACTAACAATTTTTTTCAACTGTCAAGTAGTTAGGGAACAAGTAAAATCTAGAATGGAAAAATTCAATGTGATTCTATTTTGCCAGTAGGCTGAACTTTGGGTGCAATAAAATTAATTCCAAAACTCCATGAAAAACACTGGCTAAAAAAGGATCCCTCTAATCCACATTTCCCAGTCAGGCCTTTACCAGAGACACTGTCTTGTCCTTTTGGGAATCTCCAGTAATTTAGGGACCACTTGCATGGTTGTCTGTCCATCCCTATGGCACCAACAGGGGCTCAAGGCAGCGCCTGTACCGTGCAGTGGTGGCTGCTGCTTTCCCACGGTCCTCCCGGCAACTGGAATTTGGCTATGTGACCTGGCCCTGGCCTAACATAGTGCCTCATCTTCCTGGCCATGAGAATAAACACCTGAGCCAATCCTTCTCCCTTTTCAGGCTCAAAGCTGAAGCTGTATTTACCAAAGATGACATTATGACCCAGCTAAAGAAACCTGATAATATGATAGCAAATCTTGAGGCCAAGAAAGTGAGGCACGAAGACAATGAAGAGGCTCACAAGAGCCAAATCTGCTTTAAGCCACTGCTTGCTGACCAGGAGCTCCATCATTCTTTTGATCCTGGGAGCCTCCACAGTATGTCCTAGTTACTAGAGCTAACAAACTCTGTTTCCTTGCTTAAACTAGTTTGTACTGGATTTCTGATGCTTAAATTCTGCCGAAGCTCTTGGGAGGAAACCAACCCTCTGGTCATGACCCAAATGAGGAAAACCCACAAAAACCCTGGGCTGAATGTGAAGACTTATCAGCTGTCCCATTAACAGGATTCAGTTTTCCTATTCTGACAGTGCTAATTCTCTGCTCTTAATTTCTCTTCTAGGATCTTTGTGGAGACTCATATTCAAACAAGTGTTCAGATGGATACTGAGTAGCTAGCTCTGAGGTAATGAAATATTCAGACACAGAACTGGTGACTTTGAGGGGATAAAAGGAGTAATGGGCCATGTCAAATACTTTACCAAGTAGCTCATACCGTACAGAGAAAGGTGCTGAATCGAAAGATAACAGAATCACAAGATGACAGAACTGTAAGCAACAAACAAGTGTGGCAGTCTGAATGCAAACAAGAGTCAGCTGAAGCAAAAAAACAAAAGCAGGGATTAAAAAATCTATGAAGCAGCCTAGAGAACTCAGGGATGGTCTGCAAGATAGGCTATGCTGCCTTTAAGATGGTCCATGTGCTCCCCATCTCCAGGCATGCACGGCCTTGTGTAGTCTCTTCCCTGTTAGTAACTCGCTTCTAATCAAAAGCATATAGCAATATTGAGGGAATGGCAGTTCCACGATTAGTTTACAAAAGATTGTGACTTTTGTTTGCTAGCACATTCTCTCTTGAGCTGGCTTTGATAGCGCAAGCTGCCATGCTGGGGAGGCCCATGTGGCAAAGAATTGAGGGTTCCTCCAGCCAACAGTCAGTAAGGAAATGAAGTCCCCAATCCAACAGCCCTCAAGGAACCAAATCCTACCAACAACTACGTGAGTGAGCTTGGAAGCAGATCCTTCCTCAGTGGAGCCTTCAGGCAAGACTGCAGCCCTGACCAACACACTGTAGCCTCATGAGAGATCTTGGGGCAGAAGATCCAGCTAAGCTGTACCTGGATTCCTACCCCACAAAAACTGTAAGAAAATAAATATATTTTGTTTTACACTGCTAGAATTGGGAGTGATTTGTTATGCAATGATAGATAACTTTAATGTAAGACATAGGCAGGAACCTTCCCTTCATGGAAGGAAGGTACATCTTAAATCCTGATTGCAAAATAGTTTACCATCTATAGGGAAAGTAAGCAGGCTGGTGTTGCATGGGGTAGGGGGTGGAGGCAAGGGGAAGAGGGGAGTGACTGCTAATGGGTTTATTGTGCAACTATCCCTACATTTATTTTAGGGATAAAATAAACTTTTTATCCCTAAAATAAATTTTTTATCCCACTGAGCTCAGAACTGGCAGTTTAACAGGAGTTTGAAAATTAAGTTTTTTTTTTAATTTATTTTAGGGATAGTTGCACAATTCTGCAAATATACTAAAATGACTTGTATACATTAAATAGGTGCATTGTACAGTATATGAGTCATAGCTCCAAAACCCATTATTTAAAAAAAATTACTGAATTCCCATTGGATTTTGTTATTATATATATTTTCTTAAAATAAAATAGACCCGTCACAAAGCAGAACAAAGCAATCAAAAACCAACCATTGGCCTGGGATGTTCCCACAGGGACCATCACCCCTTGATACTTGCCACCATCAGACAAGTGTCAGACCTCGGACCCTTGAATCTTAGACAGAGGCCAAGAAGAGTCTCTATTTGACCCTATACCTATGCCTGAAGCTATCAAGACCACACAGGATTGGTGGTTAGGAATTCTCATTGCCCACGCTTGGATCACAATCCCAAGCTCTAGCAGCCAGGGATGGGAAGAGGCAGAGACCAAAGCTCTTTTGGCTTCTGTGTGGAAGGCACAACCTCCTATCTGTCCTGATTTCCCTGTTTGGTACACTGTTATCATAATGATTGTAGTGACCCTCTCCTGACCATACAACAGAGAACAGTCCTAGAGAGATGCTAAAAAGCAAAAAGTAAAACTCCCTCAGTTCCGGACCTGATCAGAGAAAGAGATGGACGGCCCCCTCCTAGAGCCATCCCTGAATGCTCAACAGAAGGAAGCACTTGGCAGAGCTCTCTAACCTTCACTTACAGTCTATATCTCTAGAGCGTCAGAGTGAACGTTAATAAATAATAAGAGCTACCATTGACTGAGAGCTTTTGACGTGCCAGGCCCTCTGTAAGCACAGTAACTCATTTAATTCTCACCACAAGTGTAGGGGGTATGTACCATTATGATTTCCATCTTATAGATGAAGAGAACTAGACAGTGATAGAGCCAGGATACAATCTAAGGCAGGAAGAGCCCACATTCTAAATGCCCCTGCTGACTGCCTGTGCCCTGGAAGCAGAGTTCATCCTTGCAGGAGGAACTTGAATAAATCATGTCCTTTTAGCCAGCTCAGAACACAAGCTGAAAGTCTTGCAAGTTACCCCTTGCCCATAATACCTACACCATCATTCTGCATCCTGTTCAGCCTTGGCTTGTCATAAACATGAGTGCCAGGAGAGCTAAGATTTAATGAGACAGCTTCTTAGAGCTACTATTATGTACCAGCTACTGAGCTCAGAAATGGGAGTTTAACAGGAGTTTGAAAAGTAAGTTACTTGCTATATAACGACAAAGTATGGAAAATGCTGCAGAGCAATAAACAGAATAATAAAAGAGAGATTGAAAAGTAGATAATTTAGTTTGGGGGACCAGAGAAAGTTTTGCAAAAGCAGCAAGAATTTAGGCTAATGCTTATAAGGAGAAGTCAACTGAGCAAGGTTCAGAGGAAGCAAGATCAGGCAGAGGGACTCATAGATGCAAAGCCCTGAGGCTGGAAAAGAGGATCTGATGAATGGAAGGAAACATAAAACATAAACTTACCATTTGCTCCAGCAATTCCACTTCTAGGTGTTTACCCAAAAGAATTGAGAGCAGTGATAGGATTCAAACATATACTTATACGTCCACATTCATAGCAGTATTATCACAATAGCCAAAAGGCAGAAATCATCCACATGTCCATCAACAGGTGAGGAACATCCCCGCCTATCAGAAAGTCAGAAGGGAGTAGAGACTCACTGACGGCTTGCCCTGGGCTGTCACTTTACCAATGTACCTAATTCTCCTGTTTCAGTCCTATGAGGTAGATATCACAATTTCCATTTTACCTATTTGCAAAACTGAAGCCCAGAGACATTACATAAATGCCTTGCGACCTCCAAGTGATAAAGCCAGAACTCCAGCACCAGACCAGTCCAACCCCAAGCCCTTTCAGGCAAGTGCAGTGGTTCTCCACCCTGGCTGCGCACTGCGGTCACCTGAGATCTTAAACGTCCAACTGCATCAGAGATGGGGGCCAGACAGCAGGCATCTCTCTCGGCAGATGATTCTGATGCAAAACCAGGGCTGAGAAACTCCTGCCTCATAATGTACACCCTCTCTTAGACACCATGTGGCACCACCCTCTCAATTTATTAACAGAGATGAGATCCAGAGAGCACTGCTCTCCCTGCAACCTACCACCAGATGCTGACTCTCCATGGGGCCTCAGTAAATGCAAAGTGACCCT